TTTTTCCGTCTCCTGATAAAGGATGGTTGCACGTACATGTGTAGGATCCTACAGTGTTTGTACATGAAGCGGAACGGTGGCAGTCGTGTACACCGCTGACACATTCATCGATATCTGTGGGTAATAATGGACAGGGAAGAAGAAAGAAAACAAACATGAATTATTGTAATTTTTATAGTACGTGTCGTGATTAGACGTTTACCATGTTTATTAATGAAACCTGTCAAGGCAAATAATCCTTGTTGTAGAGCCTTGTCGTGGCAACCATATTTATGTTCCTGGTCAATAGAACATGTTTGCACATTAAAAGAACCCGTTTCCCAAAGAACGCATGAGAAATGTCATTTTTTGGGATCTATGGTTTATACCCTTGAGGTTTTTTCCGTGAATAGAGCCAAAATAAATATCCACTCTTTTGTTATGTTACATCCAAAACGAGACTAAGCTCAATCAAAATCATAAATATATTTTACATACTACAAATTGGTTACCGTGTGGCACGACATTTTTGGGGGAGTTTAATTTTTCGGATCTGCGATATATTTTGCTCGTTGTTGCGGGAACTAATTTTTGGGATGGTAAAAGACTGGTTTTTCGTGCTGGGTATCCGTGAATTCTGTAATGTTGAGAAAGTTGCATTTGCTGCGTTTTAAGTTGAACTACATGGTAAGTTGTAAGGGAGGGTAAGACACGGTAGACTCATGCCTGGGTAATGAACTCGTCTCAGGATCGAGCGGTCCGGATTCGAGACCTGGCCGGAGACACTTCGTTGTGTTCTTGGGCAAGACACTTAAATGGGTACCGCCGGCGAACTAAATGTTGGGGTTAATCCTGCGATGGACTGGCGTCCCGTAGAGGGGTGAATGGAAATATTCCTAGTCGCTTCTTGTTACGCAGAAACCGGGATAAGCTCTGGCCCGGTAGCATGAGTGGCTCGTATAGAGACTTTACCCCAACGGCAATCGAGTAGCCAGTCACTCTGGAACAACTACGTCCTGCCCCAGTGTGGCTGGTAGTGCCTTCAGATGATCTTTTTTTGTCAAGTTTTAGCAGCTACACCTGCTGTAATTTTACGCTAGTGGAGAGCGCAAACAAGAGGTAATAAAGACGACAAACAGTCTTTATAAGAATAACAACTCCATGTTTTAATCAACACAGCACATGGTCCGAGAGTCATGTGACTACGCATGACGTCACACCTGCCTTGTACCATGGGCAATTTCATCGTTTTGTTTAAAGAGACGTTTTAAATAAATGGCTTCAACAAGATTCTGCATGTGAGGCTTATTTGTGTAATTTCGACAATGGAGTAAAATTTCGTTTGCGAAGCGTGGAAAAAAATGCAACTTGAAAATCACGAAACTTAGGACCAGAAGAAAACTCGTCCCACACCGTAGGCGTATAACTTGATTTTCATGTGGCGTCATTTCATTTCGCAGTATTGTTTTAGTTCTTGTTAAGCAGATATAACTTACCAGTGCAATTTTTGCCATCGCCTGAGTATCCAGGTTTGCACGCGCAAGTGTAAGATCCACGAGTATTGTTACAAACGCCATTCACATCACAGCTATGAGAGTTTGAAGAGCACTCGTCTATGTCTGAAACAAGGTGAAAAGGAGTAAAAATGGATAAACGTTGAGTTATCGTTAGTCTGACCATTTCACCGAAACTGAAAAAGAAACATACAGCTTGAG